ACTACTTCCCTTAACCTTGCTTCATCCTGCAGTTAACCACATTATGGCGATGTGAAGAATGTAATTAATACAATTGAAAAATGTGAAGGTTTATCTAGCCCTAGATTACCACTCACTTCAAGTATGGATTGATCATCGACGATCTTGCATAATAGAGCACCAACAAAGGAATCGCCAGCGCCAGTTGTATCAACTGTGTTCACATGAAAACTGTCCACTGATCCATGGAAATTCTGGTTTGAAATGCAAATATCATACTAGGAATATGACAAAATTAAATCTAAATGCAGAAAGGGAAGTTTGGAGAGTAACAAAGGATAAGTAAAATTGAAAGAGTATGGTGTTTTTCTTACCTTGGTATAGTACCTAGAACCACGTTCGCCAAGAGTGACAAGGAGCAACTTCAAATTTGGGCGCCACAGTGAGAGAGCAGATGCATCATCAATTTTGTCACTTCCAGTTAGGAATTCCAGATCCACATCACTGACCTTGATCACATCAGACTGGTCCCATATGCTGAGTATTTGCTGACGCGCTTCCTCAGGCGATGGCCACAAGGGTAGCCTCAGGTTTGGATCATACGAGAGCAGACACCCTGCTTCCCTGGCAACTTCCATTGCCTTCAGGTGTGCTGATCTGCATGGATCCACGATCAAACTTATCGATCCATAATGAAATATTTTTGCCTGTTCACATATCAACTTCACATTCAATCACTCCACTACATGAAAATAAAACGGAATGCGCATGCATGATGCACAACCACTACTAGAGCGTAAGAATTGGAGTCTATAAACTTGGATGTGGTTATTCTTCTACTTCAAGATTTCAACCAAAGACATTTGCCTCAAGTCCTCAGCTCAAAGGACAACAGGAAGAGCTTCCTTGCTGAGTGGGTCCCACTCAGCATTATCCACCTCGATAAAAATTAACCCAAAACAGAAAAAAAACACGTGAGATACGTCACGTGACAGTACGAACTATTGCGATCTGATATTGCAAATTAGGAAAAAAAATAAAGAAATTTTTAATTTATTTAAAAAATAATCTGATGGGTTTGTTTAGGGATATTAGATCCACTCCTGGACCCCACAAGCTGACTCAGCAAAATCCATTACCTTAAATCACCGGTCCTACACGCACGTGCACCCCAAACACCACGCTCACTAAATTTCAAGAAGATAAAGAAACAAGAATTTGAGAGAGATTCTCCGTACAGATCTGATGAGTTCGAGATTGAGATGTTCGGGCTCAAGGCGCATGTCGGCGCTGGGATTTCTGTAGAACATGAACTCACGCTCTCCGTCGGCGCGTAGGGTCACGAACGCAAGCGCTGTGCGCGCGCTCTGGTCGAAGTTGATCCCGTCGGATCTCACGTCGTTGTCCTTGAGGATTTTGGCCAGCATGTGGCCGAACTCGTCGTCGCCGAGTTTGCCGATGAAAGCGGCCTTGCCGCCGAGTCTTGTAACGGCAATGGCGACGTTGGCTGGGGCGCCACCAGGGGCCTTGAGGAAACCCGGAGCCTCGGCAAGGGAGACGCCGGAGACTGTAGGGATGAAGTCGATGAGCATCTCGCCGAAGCTGACGATGAGGCCGTTGCCGGTGGGAGGAAGAGCATTGGAGGCCATGCTTTTTGAGTTTTAAACTTTGAGATCTGAAAATGCAGAGGTTGAAGATGATGAGAGAGTGACTTTGGATACTGAATTCGTAAAGTTTATATAGAGTGAGAAAAAGGATAATTGTTAAGATAAGAAAATCAGTTAACCTTTTCATCAATAGTCTAATCTTGCTTCCTTTTGTAAGAAATTATTATGTGCCATATAAATTGTTTATTTATTCAATATTTAATGATTAAACTTGAACGATATTTAATAAAAAAAAATTATAATTAAAATGACATAAAGTATTATTAAAAATATATCATAATCTTACTATGTTCTAAATATCTAAAATATATATTATATTTAAATTTAAAAAATTACTTTTGAGTTTAATTATTACATTATATTAATAATAAGAATAAGTAAAATATAAATAAATGAAAACATTCATTTATAATCATTAATTTATTATTAAGTAAACAATCATGATCAATTTTACAACTTAAACACATAACTATATACTTTCATTTTTATAATATCCCAATTTGATATTTTCTGTGTTATATATGGATAGATGTAAACATATATATATATATATATATATATATATATATATATATATATATATATATATATATATATATATATATATATATATATATATATATATATGCATATATGAAAAAAAATATAAAAAAAAATGATGTGAGAACAAGAGGTTTAGTCAGAATACTTAAAAATTTTAAATTAAAATGTCATATAACCCCATAAATTTGTAAAGACTGATGTATCAAATTTTTTATTTATAAAAGATTTATTAGGATATTTCTATCAACACCTTTTCCACGGATAATCAAAATAGTTTTGATAGGATGATGCAAGTTAAAAAATAGCTTAAATTAAATAAAAAATTTGTTATAAATTAAATTAGATTAATTTTAGTTTAGTTATGATTTAGAATAGTTTACGTTATATTAACCTGTAAATTTATAATTTTGTTTTATAAAATAATAATTATTTTTTAAATGAAAATAAAAGTACTATTATTTTATTAATATATTATAAAATTAATTTAAAAAAGATTTTATCTATCCCAAGAATAAAAGTATAAATAAAATATTATTTTAAATTATTAAAAAATAATTAATAAAAATAAAAAATAAGTTTATAATTTATATATTAAATAATTATATATAAAATTGAAATTAATTTTATTATTATAATTTAAGTTTTTAAAATATATTTTTGATTTAATATTAGTTTTTTATTTAGACAAGGATATATTTATTTATTAAAAAAACAAGCATGTTTTTAGATTGGATGATAGAGAACTTGGGAGTGAAAAATATATAATAAAAAATAACATTGTCTTATTAAAAAAGCAACGATGATAAGTAAAAAATAAATATATTTATTATTCTAATTATTTTTATTATTTATAAGGTTTAGTTTTTTTTAGTCAAGCCAGAAACTTGTTACAAGAAAATATCTTAAATAATATATTAATATATATTCCCTCAAAGTTGAATTAATGATATATTTAAATAACTTATTTTTAACATAATCTAAAAATAAAATATCATAACCAATTTTATATATCTTTTAAATAACATAATCAATCAATTGTTTACCCTGGTGCACTTTTTACCTTTAATTATGTTTTTATTTTATTTTTGAAGGTCATAATAATATTCCTTTCGTAAAAAAGGACTTTGTTTTCAATGGTCGTTTTGATATAGAGATTGACTAAAAAATTTCAATAACTTCTAAGATGTGACTTATCCGTGACCAAAATTTGATATTGATTTTTCTCTAAAATTTAGATATTACGTTGACATAATAATCTAATCGGTAATATCGAGAAACTCTCGTAACGATCTGATATTGTACGATAATAACCAAGAAATTTTTGATATTTTGACAAAAAAATAAAAATATCTATTCAACAACTCACTTTTAATTTTTTATATTATTATTTATATATCTTACTTAATTGTCTCTTCGTCAATCAACTAAAAAAATTGTGAAAATATCTTTTTCCATTGGGAAGATAGAATAATGTTAATTTTAAAATTATCCACACTCATTCATTTAGCTGAGATGACATGGCCGAAACAATACACAGAGTTTTTACAAAAATCACATTTCGAAAGCTTAACAAAACGAGAGTGAGTTCAATTAACAAGTCTTGGATCACTGGCGCGAAGGCGCGAAGGTAAAAGTTGGTGAATTTGTCTGGCATATTTGCATTGATCACATGGAGTAGATATCACCATGAAAGAATATTGATTAAGGTGACTATTCTTGAGTGGATTAGGGTTTAAGTTGCAGAATGATGGGAGTCCCTAATAACTAAATTTTATTATAAATCGGTTTAGTCGTTTTTCAAAGAACCAAATTCTAATTAACTATTCATGTGTCCATATGGCGAAATCTGAGAATTCAATTTCTCGATAAATGAATTCTATCCTTTGTACTAAACATGTCTATGGTAAGATGGTGATAGTTTGAAAACAAGAAATCATATATAATTCTTTAAACAACTTACTTTTATTAATATAATAATTGATTGAATGATTTAATAAAAATAAAAATAAATCTAATGTGGTGGATCTGGATCAAAAAGGAGATATGATTAGATTGATAATTATTGCTAATATTCACATGAGACATAATCAATAATATTAATTTTATCGAAAACAGACAAACATGATGAAATGAGTGGAAGCAGAACCTGAGATATGATAAGGAGGCAGCACTGCAAGGTGAGTCAGATGGCATCACAAATACAATCAATCATGAAATGGACAATTTGTTTTGCTGAATATAATTGCATTCAATAACATTATAAATCAGGGATGTTGTCGCAATTTTGATTCAATCATGCAGCACTTGAATTTGGAATTAGAGGTGCTACTTTCAAGTCCGTATAGCTGTTGGATTGGATGCACATGCCTTAGCTATTTGATCAAACTTTCTCTCAAGATTCATGGCCTCATGATGTACTCTTGAGACCGGGACAATAAATATTCAAGACTTTACCCTCTTGGCAAGTGGAAACTACACTTAATGAGCAAATATTAGTCTTTAATATTATGAGTTTTTTATTACTGAATTGACCATGTCCATGAAAAATAAAATGTTTTAACTGTTTTAGTGATCGAAAGAATGTTTTTACCCTGTTTTCTCACACCAGCATGCACACACGTGTAACCATGCAAGTGTGTCCAGCACACCATTGGACAAGACAGTAAAAATGGTAGTTTCGGTAAATTTTCAACACTTTGAAAAGACCTTTTTGTCAGATTCCTGCAAGGTAAATTTCCATGGACTAGTTGATTTACTCAAGGTAACGAACTGTTAAACAATATATATCTCATCTCTATTGAATGAAACCTGTCACAAACATTGATTATTATAATAGTGGCTATTTTTAGACATTGATGATGAACCTGTGGTCGAGCTTACACTTTCATCTAGCATTTTAGTAAAATATACCTTCTTTTCTTTATCACCATTGTAATCCAACAAGCTGTCCTCTTCAGAATCTGATTCATTCATTGACAAGCTTTCGTCTTCAAAACTATCTTCTGTTTCTGACAGCTCCAGTTCCGTGGAATCTGCTTCAGTCTCTGAAAGACTGGCTGAAAAATAATCACCGTTCAAGTCATGGAATTTTTTGTCTTGAATTCCATGATTCCCTTTTTCCTTGGAGTTTCCACTTGGACTATCCAGCATTGATAAGGGATTTCGATTGTTTGGATCACCATAAAGTGCAACGTGTCTGTAATATAGCTCTAATTCTTTCTCAGCAATAGCAATGAAGCGCCTCACTGACTCAAGTGATTGCTCATACTTGGATTTTTCAAGTGCCTGCAGAAAAAAAAAAAAAAAAAGTGATTAAGTGGGAGTTAGACATTATAGCTGATTGCTAACCAAAAATATTAGCAAGAATAACAAATTCAACAGTTTCTGAATGGTCAGAATTTATGGAAAATGTTAAATGCCTGACATAAGAAAACAATTTTGAACAGATCATGCGTATGTGTTATAGAGCAATTCCATGGGTTTACTATAATTAAACAACAATTAGTTCAATTCAAAGCTTTTCAACGACGACCAAAACTATAACAATTATCATTTCAAAAATTTTCTTGTCTTTTTTTAATGAAACACAGAAACACACCTTTTTCTTGGACAGGGTATCAATTGGTGACATAACATCAGGCTGTTCATAGTTCTTTCCCCGATAAAATATTATAGTGTCGTCTCCAATTATTTGAAGAGGAATACCGCCACTCAATCTGGCAAGTTCTTGTGCATACTCGTGTACTTGACCAGGCTTACAAGGCTTGCATATGACCTTAACAGTCTCATGTTTCTTCCAATGCATATGCATATTGAGAACAACCCCTCCAAATAATCCTCTTCTGCCAATTTGTAGATAATTAGATCTCTTCTGAGCCATTTTCTTCAAATAAAACCTTTCCTCCCCCGTCAAGCTATCAGGCTTCACAACAGGACCCTGAAGTTTAGAAACTTCATATCTTTTGAGCCTTTCAATGAGCAGTGCTTCCTTAATTCTGGCCTGGGGTTACAACCAGAATCATGCAAAGGTTTAGTAGAAATGTATAAGAAAATAACCGTTTCAAGTTTTTTGTGATTGTTGATGAAAAGTTTCCTTGTCTCGTCATTTTAACACTAGATATACACAAAATCTCCATCAGAACAACGCAGCAAATAAATAGGACAATATCATAAGTAAAATTCAATCATACATGCTCCAAGTCAACAACTGCTACTGCCAAGCTCTTCAAATGGACAATATAACTAGCACAAAAGAGAAATTTGTCATTCAAAAAAATTATGTATATATCATCTAGAATGAAGAAGTACAAAAAAAAAAAAGATCTTGTAACAAATCATGCTGATTGGTACTTCACCGTTAAAGGTAAGAATATACATGCGGACAGAATCAACCTCTGGCTCAAGTTCAATCCAACTGGCCTAAAAGTGGGAAACTTGATCATTTAAGATCCATACATACCAGCACAAAGCAAACAAGGACCATTAAAACCATACAAATGAAGCAGTGTAATGTACAAAGGTTGGCATTGATGAGAAACAAATAAACAAAAAATAAATAAAAATAAAAAGAGGATGAGGAAATCCAATTATAGCTTACATTTTCAATCTTGAAATTGATTCTCTCTTCTGCACTGGCAAATCTCTGCTTCTTCTTCTTCCCTTTGACACCAAGTCGACGAGGGTCTTTCCTGTTGGCCGCTTTCCTCTTCTCCTTCTCCCTCTTCCTCTGCATCTTCAACCTCTTCTTAGTCTTCCACTTGTCTTTCTTAGGAGGCTCAACCTCGTGAGTCTCAAACTTGGTCTTCCCTCCCGTAATCACAAGGTTCACCCTGCCATGGCTAAAATTTCTTAAACCCCACCAATAGCCTTGCTCTCCCAGCGAGACACAGTGCCTCAAAGGAGAACACACACACATCTTGCTCCTCCCAACTGACCTAGAAGACAGAGGAATTAGAATATAATAGTACCTTCACATAGCACGGGTCAATTCAAAGCCCTCAACTTTCAACAACCCAGAACCACAAGCAAGAAAATCGAAACAACCCATATTAGGTGCTTCTAATATATTGTCAATATAACATTGTAATTGCTTTTGGGTAGCGACTTAGCAGATAACTCTAAAAAAATGTGGCAATGAGAGGGATGAGAGAGAACCTGGGAGAGACTGAAAACGAGGCGGCGTATGAGAATCTAACAGCAGAGGATGCTCTCCTTATGCTGCGGAATAACGAAGTCGCCATTGTCGAAGAAGAAGAAGAATCTTGTATTCTCCAGTGCTGTGTTGCAGTTGTTGTTCTTCTTCTGGTGCACTACCCGTATTGGATCGCAGGGGTTAGAGTCCGGGTGCTAATCATAAGGGCATGTATCCATTTCATGTGACACGTGGCAAGCAACTGTTGGGTCAATTTAAAAAGTTGACTTTATTCACGGAGCATGCCCAATGAATTTTTGACACGTAAGGAGGGCGTTCGGGGTCCATATATGCTTTGCCTTACCTAAACAATTTCCTCTGTGTTCTGCTGTTCTCTCTGTAGCAAGGAACAGAGGATTAAAAATAATTAGCGGCATCACACACCGTTTCTGCCACAATCCAATTTTCAGTGAGTTTTTTTTTTTTTTTTTTCTTTTTCAAATTTTTTTATTTATTTTGGATGTGTAAGTTCTATTGAGGATCTTGATTCAGCTGGAATTTTAGGGTTTTGCAACCTTGTGGTTTGGTGAATAACTGCGTGATTGGTAGAATTGGAAGACACTGGTATTTTTGTTGTTGTTGTGTTTCTAGATAGAATTCCAAAGGGTCCGGAGTGAATAAAACAAAATTGAATATTGACGTTGTTGTTGTTGATTTTCTCCCCTATCCTGATACTTGACTCTGTTTTTTACTCTTGTACGTTTTGTACTTTGTTGAACATTTGTGCTTAGAAATTATGTCTAGAGACGAGAATTCCTGTTAATGCTCAGTTTTTGGTCTGATAAAAGAGAAAGATATAGACGTAAAGGGAAAATGAGAAGGTTTACAGGAAAAAAGCTCTACCAACACATTGTGCAAGTTTAGATTCAACTTAAAAAGGAGAATATATTTATTGAACAAATGCACACATTTGGATGCATGTGAACATCCATTCAACTTTTAAGGAGAGTACTTTACTTGGGTGCAAGGCTCCACTCTCATGTGGATGGGATGATTTTTTTTTTCAATTTCATTAGTGATTTAACGGCTAAAGACATAATTGACTTTAGTACATCATTGAGATTTGATTCGCAATACGTGACAGACATGTGGAAACTTTGTAAAATTGGAATGCTTGTTGTAGTACATAAAGATACTACCGAGTCATATACGATGAGTTTAAGCCTTTTCCGCCGTTTTTCCTCCATTATTTAAGTGAAGATCTCAGTAACTCGTGGTTTACCTGTAAATAAGGAATGTGTGCAATATATTTTCTGCTTGTTGGGATTAAAGTAGGTTTGCCAACAGACGTGGCATGGAGTTACTGTTCACTCATTATATATGGCTTTGGAGTTATTGTTTAGGTGCAATGTACATACATTATGTTTGATAGGTTGATAATGTAGGAATCTTCAGAAGAACAGAAACTTTTCCTGAATTTAAGATAACATATAAGTGTTTTTTTATACAATGCGGTATTCTATTTTTGGTTGTTATGGAGTAGTGTATTTGACGAATACTCGGAGATTTAAAGGCTGTTATCTCTTACTGAATTCTTTGGTCTTTTGTTTCAATTTTAGAATTTCACGTAATGAGCCACACTGTGTTCAATCTTGTTGTGTATTCGCCATAGTTAGTAATAGTATAGTATCCATTATTTTTCTATGAATGAGTTGTTCATCACTTTCATAGACTGTTGTGCCGCAGAAGCATATCATCTGTGCAATGAAAGTAATATACCAGATTCTTTTGTTGCTGCAGTGGAGTTTGAGACTGATGGTACTGGCAAGACAGTAGCAAATGCTGCTATAGGTGATGGTGACAACAGAGAAGGTGGAAGTTCTGTTGAACCAAATTACAAACAAGATGAATGTGAAATTGATCCTCAAGATTCCTCTGGAGGGATTACTATCCCATTTGCAATTCCCACAGTATCAGTTGTTGCAGTTGAAGAGCCATATGTGGGTCAGGAGTTTGAGTCAGAATCAGCAGCACATGCATTTTATAATGCATATGCCACAGATGTTGGATTCATCGTGCGTGTGAGTAAACTCTCGCGATCAAGGCGTGATGGAAGTGCTATTGGACGTGCTCTTGTTTGCAACAAAGAAGGTTTCAGAATGCCTGACAAGCGTGAGAAGATTGTGAGGCAAAGGGCTGAGACCAGGGTTGGTTGCAGGGCAATGATTATGGTGAGGAAAGTTAGTTCTGGCAAATGGGTTGTTACAAAGCTTGTAAAGGAACACACACATCCTTTGAGTCCTGGTAAAGGTAGAAGGGATTTCATTTATGAACAATATCCGGTCAGTTTCTGTTCTTTCACTACTGAATAATTGTGTCAATTACTTGTGCTTAATAGATCAGTTATTAATGGAATCAGAGTCAGATCACGATGTTCATATTCTGCAAAATATTAGGGAATTTCATAATGGAGTTTTCAGGATAACATTGGTTCTTTAACATTTTTAAAGGTGTCATGCATTGAATGACTAGTAATATTCTATTCAGCACCTTTTTATCCTACTTACCTTTTTCTTCATGCTATTTTTAGAACGAACATGACAAAATTCGGGAACTATCTCAGCAATTGGCAACTGAGAAAAAGAGATCTGCAGCCTATAAAAGACATCTTGAACTGATATTTGAGCACATTGAAGAGCATAACGAGAGTCTTTCAAAGAAAATACAGCACACAGTAGACAGTGTGAGGGAGATGGAAACCAAAGAAAAACAGAGTCATCTCTGATAGGTTGAACTTGCATTATGATAGTTTTAGTTGGCAGAAGAAATTAGTTCAGTCAATATGTACAAGTCCTTTGAGTCCATTCTTGTGGAGTAGTGCCTTCAATGTAATCACTCATAACAACAGGCGTTCCAACGCCCACATAGAATTTCATTCTTCCATTTTACTGCTATATTTCCTTTGTATATATTGAATAATACAAGCACATTTCTTTTGTAAAGTTTATAATTGAAGTTTGTTAAATATTCCATTGTCTTAATTTTATTTCATTTCTAAACATATAGAACGAGGATACATGCACGTTACCACAAAATTTTTGAATTGAGATTGTTTTTTTTTTAAACACTCAAACCGAGATAAAACCTAAAAATATATAAATAAAATTATCAAAAACTAAAATGGAAAAAAGAAGAACCAATATCATCTCACAATTTGAATTTTCTGGAAGAATTGTTAGAACTCATAATTTCAAGTGTTCATAGACAAATATATGAAAATGTGAACTGAACATGAATATAGTGATTGAAAATCATGAAAAGAAGAAACTCACAAAATCATTAATCAATGAAATCAATCTCCTAGAACACCAAACATATATACAAGTTGATAATGGATTCAAATTGAAATTTTTTCATTCCGAGATTCTGCATTGAGAAACAGAGTAACGAATGAAGATTAACCAAGAGCAGTGAATCCCCCACCCTTCATCATTTGCTGGAACTCCTTGTAATTGACCATGCCATCTCCGTCAACGTCCACTTTCACGATCATCTTCCTGCACTCCTCCATGCTGCCCCCTTGGTGGAGGCCAAGGGAGCCGAGTACCGTGCGGAGCTCCTCGACGGTGATGAAGCCGTCACGGTTCTGGTCAAAGACGTTGAAGGCCTCCCGCATGTCCTCCTCCTCGTTCCGCTCCTCCATTATCAACTCGTAGAGCTCCCCGAACTCCGTGATGTCCACGCAGCCATCGCCATTGACGTCTATCCTCTGGATCATCTCCGTCAGCTCCTTCTCCGAAATCTTTATCCCCAAATTCTCCAACGAATGGCTCAGCTCCTCCACCGATATTCTCCCGTCCCCGTTCCTATCGAACATCTCGAACACGCGCTTCAACTCCACCGCCTCCATTATTATTACCTACTTAGAAATTAATCAATCAATTAAAATTAATTAATTGATTGATTAATAACAAATTTTCAATAATAATAACGGACTCGATGGAGAACGAAGCTGATCGATGGAATTGGGCAAGAGGTCTGAAATATGGCACCATCAATTTATCAGGCTCTGTGAAGGAGTGAGACAGCGAAATCGTGGTGTTTCTTGCTTTTTTGGTCGCAAGATTTCTGGAGGCTAAATATAGGATAATCTGGTCTTGTTTTATTGACAGGTGGCATGGAAATAATTTAGTACATCTGCATGTTGTCTATGGACTTTTAGGGTTTATGTCTGTTCTTGTTATCATGGTGTTGGATTATTTATATGCATCTTTAATTTCAAAGACGCGTTTATACGAATCATTGCTTTAATCGCGCTTCTTCAACGGAAATAAACATTTAGATGTTTCCGCGTGAGACCGTTGATAACGGATCTAATAGTTGCAGGGTGGGCCCCACCAAACATTAAGACAGCGTTATTATATTTATGTTTATATTTAATTTAATGAAACATCAAGTGATGAATGTGGTATTTCTTTTTTAGATTGAATGGTTATTTAGATTTGCGCGTGTTGAGTGGAGCGCTTACACCAAATTTTTGTGTTGAAAATTGAAGAAAACAGAGACACCGAATTAATACCCTGTCTTGTCAGATTCTCCTTCTCTCTCCACTTTTTGTTTTCCTGCTGTCAACTTTCTTTCATATTTTTTTATTCGTAACAACTCTACTTTATATATTTATATATAGTTGATTTCAAATAAGATATTTAGGATTTATTTCATTATTTTTTTAAATAATTTTAATTTTTAAAAACTAGTTGATAAATATTTTGTTAAAATAATTTTAAATTTTTTGTTGTTTTTAAAAATTAATAAAATATTTTTTATTTTAATTTATTATTATTATTGTTTAAATATATATATATATATATATATATATATTATAAACAATTACCTTATACAAAAAATAAATAAAAATAAACAAATCATTTCTCAATTTTTATTTTGCAAACTTTATTTTTTATTTTCCTTTTTAATGGTTCGAAAAATCAACTAATTATTTATTTTGTTATTATTAATAATAACCCTTTATATTTGAAATTTTGAAAATAAAAAACTTTTGTTTAAATATTCATCATATCCAAAATTTAAAAAATTACTAAACTTTTTAAATATATTCTAAAATATTAAAATTTACCGTATATATAAAATAATATTTATTTATAAATGTGAATTTATTTATTTTATTTTAATTGTAGTTTTTCGCTTGACAACATTTTAAATACAATAATAACAAAAATAAGTACATATTTATTATTATAAATAATTTATAATTTTTTATTTCTAATAATTTTTGTTGTTTTATTTACGTAATTTATTTGTTTTTAATAGACAATATTTATATATATATCTAAATAAATGTGTAAATTTTTTAATTAATTTTAATATTAAATTAATATTTAATTGTAATAATTAAATTATTGTTAAGTTGTCAAAAATTGAAATATAAATAAAAATATGGATGTTTATAAATATTATCATTACAATTAAACTTGTAAAAATTGACTATAAATTACTTAAAAGTGCCGTGATATCATGTCTTATTTAAAGTAAAAATATGTTACACAAAAACATCATTGGTTTGAACGAAGATAGATATCAAATATTTCCACTAATAATCATATTATAGTACTTATTTTTATTATCATAAAATTATTATAAAAAAACAATTTTTATCACGATTTTTAACGGTTATTTTTGTTTTCTAGAAAGTTGTAAGAAATAGAATTATTAAATAACTTTATTTTTAACTTATTTTTAAAAATATATTTTTAATATTGATTTCTAAACTATTTTTAAAAATTAAAAACAAAAATTCAATTAAATAAACAGATATTGTTTGCTTCATAAAAAAAAATTATAGTTTTCAAAAACTAAAAAATTATTCAATAATTATTTTTTTTAAATTAAAAAATTGATAAAAGATAATTTTTTTTTATTAATAATATCATATTTCCACCATATAGATACATTATAATACTTATTTTCATGAATATGAAATTATTAAAACTATTTTCAAACTTTAAATAGTTTTTAAATTAAAATGATCAAATAAATTTTTTCAACTTATTTTAGAAAATAATTTTTCAAAATTAGTATTTAAAAATATTTTTAAAAATTAAAACTAAAAATTAAAATTAAATAAAATAAATATTTGATCTTAATTTTATCTTCGTTATTCTCTTATAATATAATGATTAAAATAAATGAATATTTTAAATAATTACTCATAACTATTCTTTAATTACTCATTAATTTCATTAATCATTTTCTTTGAGTGATTTCTTCACAATATATATTAACAAATATAGATTGTAGATTATTTTCTAATAATTATACAATTTTAATCTCACGTTAAATTCAATCTTTTAAGTATCATAAATTATTATTTTTATTTTAATTATGTCAATTACGTTTTAGGTTTACCAATAGTGTGACTTTAATTACTTAAAATAAGATGATGGAACGTTCAAATGAAATGGGAGAGCTACACGTAGAAAATGAAGTACATTCCATATTATTGATGTATAAAAACTGTAATGTTTATATACAGTAGAAATAACAGAGTAGAACAGAGAACGTGAACAAAACAGAAAAAAAAACTGAAAGAAACCCATGCACGTAATGCATGCCCCATGCACGTAATACCCATACACGTAACTACCCATCATACATTTTGACTTAAATCTCAACATGCCTACTTAAGTCAAAATTGAACAACTCTCAGATCTGAGTTTACAAAATCTAGCGAGCCTTCAAAGGCTTTGTAAAGATATATGCACTCGATCTTCGTATCTGCAGATGTTCTATTTCAAGCTTCTTATCATTAACTCTGCTCTCTCAAGAAATGAAACCTCATTTCTATATGTTTGCTTTTTCCATGAGCTGATGGGTGTTTAGCTAAGTCTATTGCGGACTTATTATCGACAAACAATGTTGGTGGTTGGACCAATTCTACATTCAGCTCCTTCAACAGCATCCTGAGCCATGCAGCTTGACATGCAGCCTATGCAGCAGCTATATACTCTGCTTCACAGGAGGAGAGAGCCACCACGGGTTCCTTGACTGAATTCCAGGACACTGGTCCTTCGCCATAGTAAAATATGTGACCTGCAGTGCTTTTTCTATCTTCCCTGTCACCACACCAATCTGCATCTGCAAATCCCACCAATTTCATCTCACCCCCTGGCTTCTTGCATGGAAACATTATACCAAAATTACACGTTCCACGCAAATAGCGTAAGATACATTTTACGGTATTCATATGGCTAACTTTCGGGCTCTGCATATATCTACTAACAATGCCAACACCATAGCTCAAATCAGGTCTGGTGTTACACAAGTATCTCAGACTCCCAATGATTCTGCGAAATTCTGTGTGATCAACATCTTCCTCCTCAGTGTACCTTTCTAATCTCAGACCCATTTCCGTTGGAGTTACTGCAGCATTGCAATCCTTCATCCCGAACCTGCTGAGAAGATCTCATGAGTACTTCATCTGATGCATAATAGTTCCAGCTTTTGTGAACTGAAACTCAATACCTAGGAAATAGTTGAGTCTTCCCAAATCACTCATCTCAAATTCACTATGCATTTGAGATTTAAACTCTGCAATTGCTTCTGGCTTGCTCCCAGTCAACAACATATCATCTACATAGAGACATACTATCATTTTCTCTTCTCTGTCTTTGTCTTTCCAGCACTTGATGTACACCCCTTGTTCGGAAACACATCTCACAAAACCAATCTTCTCCAAGTACTGATTGATCCGATGATTCCAAGCTCTAGGAGCTTGTTTAAGCCCATAGAGTGCCTTATTAAGCCTGTATACCTTGTGCTCTTCTCCTTTGACTATGAATCCCAATGGATGTGTTACATATATTTCCTCCTCCAAATAGCCATTTAAGAAGGCAAATTTTACGTCTAGTTGGTGGAAAGACCAACCCTCCCACGTTGCCATTGCTACAATGATTCTAACAGTCTCCAGTCGAGCCACAGGAGCATAAATTTCTCCATAATCTACTCCTGCTTTTTGAAGAAATTCTTTGGCAACCAATCTCGCCTTGTACCTCACAATTTCACCCTTGGGATTTACTTTTATTTTATATACCCATTTCAGAGAAATTGGTCTTCTGTCTAGTGGTGGTTCAACCAGTGTCCACGTCTTGTTTTTCTCTATGGCTTCAATCTCTTCCTCCATGGCTCGCACCCAATGAGTATCTCGAATAGCATCATAGAATTCTATCTGATATGCCTCAGCGATCAGAGCGAAATGCACAAAATTTCCATTCTCCGTTACCGCTAGATCATTGAAAACCTCATAATCCTTGAAACGTGTAGGTGGTTGAGTAACTCGTTGTGATCTTCTTGTTTGTTCATGAGGTTCCTGCTGCACTGTTACATCACCTACGACATTATCAGTTAGTGAAATTGTTGGCGTTGTACCTGATTGAGTTATTTGACTCGTTTCCTGCCAGTTCCAACACGAGCCTTCATCAACCACCACATCTCTGCATATGATTACCTTTCGAGAGTTTGGATCAAACAATTTATAGCCGCCTGTTACGTGATAGCCAATCAAGACTGCCATAGCACCTTTGTCATCAAGTTTGCTACGTGTTTGATCTGGAATGCGGTGATAACAAAGAGATCCAAAAACTCTCATATGAGTTACATTTGGTTTCTGACCAGACCAGGCTTCCTCTGGTGTTATACCATCAAGCTTCTTTGTTGGTGAGCGATTCAAAACATAGGCAGCAGTTGAAACCGCTTCTCCCCAGAGATATTTTGGAACGCCCTTACTTTTAAGCATGCACCTTACCATATTAAGTAGAGTCTGATTCCTCCTTTCTGCAGTACCATTATGTTGTGGCGTATATGGTGGTGTTGCCTCATGAGCTATACCATTTT